TGAAATCAATAAAACTATTTTAAAAAATAATAAATAGTAATATGTAATTAGCATTATGCTAAATCTTATATGTAATTTCAACTTGAATGCGAACACTGTTTTCTCTCAATGTTTCTAAATTTCTAAAGCTGTTTAGGATGTTTAAAAACATCCCCTTTTCGATGGCTATTTCTAGAGATACAAATACCATCAAATTTGGAGACCATCAAAAATTTTTACACACTACATTATGGCCCTAAGTACTACATCAGGCCAATATGGAATTTAAAAAGACCCCGAATAGCCGCAGCAATCCTGAGAAAGAAGAACAAAGTTGGAGGGATTACAATACCAGATATCAAGCTGTATTACAAAGCCACTGTTCTTAAAACTGCCTGGTACGGGCACAAGAACAGACATATAGACCAATGCAACAGAACAGAGAACCCAGAAATTGACCCAAACCATTATGCTCAATTAATATTTGAAAGAGGAGGCAAGAGCATACAATGGAACCAAGACAGTCTCTTCAATAAATGGTATTGGGAAAATCGTACAGAAACATGCAAAAAAAAAAAAAAAGAAAAGAAAGAAACTAGAACACCAACTTACACCATACACAAAAATAAACTCAAAATGGCTAAAGGTCTTAAAGATAAGATGGGAAACCATAAAAATCCTATAAGAATCCATAGGCAGCAAAATATCAGACATATGTCATAGTAGTATCTCTACCGATACAGCTCCTAGGGCAATAGAAACTAAGGAGAAAATAAACAAATGGGACTACATCAAAATAAAAAGCTTCTGCACAGCAAAAGAAACCATCAGCAAAACAACAAGAGAGCCCATTGCACGGGAGAACATATTTGCCAATGTTATCTCCAAATAGGGGCCTATTCTCCAACATTTACAGGGAACTCATACATCTTAACAAAAGGAAAATAATCCAATAAAAAAAATGGGCAAAGGACTTAAATAGGCACTTTTCGAAAGTGAATATACAGAAGGCCAAGAGATATGAAAACATGCTCAAAGTCACTAATCATCCAAGAGATGTAAATCAAAACGACAATGAGGTACCATCTCACACCTGTCAGAATGGCTACCATCACTCTATGTTCATACCAGTGCAATTTACAATAGCTAACATTTGGAAACAGCCTAAGTGCCCATCAGCAGATGAGTGGGTTAAAAAACTGCAGTACACCTATGACAATGGAATACTACACTGCTGTAAAAAGAAAGAACTCCTACCATTTGCAACAGCATGGATGGACCTGGAAAGCATTATGCTAAGTGAAATAAGCCAGTCAGAGAAAGAAAAATATCACATGATCTCACTCATTTGTGGAATATAATGAACAACATAAACTGATGAACAAAAATAGATCCAGAGACAGAGAAGCATCAAACAGTCTGTCAAACCTCAGAGGAAAGGCAAGGGGAGGGGGAGGGGGAGAGATCAACCAAAGGACTTGTACGCATGCATATAAGCATAACCAATGGACACAGACACTAGGGGGGTAGGGGCATGTGCTGGGGCGTGGGGGTGGCCAATGGGGAAAAAAGAAGACATATGCAATACTATATGTAATACTTCAAACAATAAAAAATTAATTGATTTTTACTCAGGCCAAAGGCAAAAAAGGGAATAAAAAGCAGCTTGGAAAAAGTGGAGTGAATAAAATAATATGGCAGAAATAAATTCAAACACATAATTATAATATGTTGCAATAAACATACAGGAACAAAAAAGAGCTATACTTAGAATTAAGAATATAGAAAGGTTTAATGTTACAGCATTAAAAAATATATGTATACTTGATAAATATCAATAGAAAAAAAGCTGTATTGGTATAATATATCGAATGAAATAGTTTTTGAGTCCCTCCTACAAAAGGCATAAAAGTAAAAGAATAAAGAGGGTTATTACCATGTAATAATAAATGGGATTTAACAGAAATATATAAGCCTTAAACATGTTAAGTTCCTTAAAACATAACTTTAAAATATTTAAAGAAAAGTCAATGAAATTCCAAAAGTCTTACAAATCCACAATCATACTGAAAGACTTAACAAATCTTGCCTAATAATTAAAAGGTAAAGCAGAAAAATATTTAGGAAGGATCCAGCAGAT